TGTGCCCCATGGGAGGTTGCCCGAGCTGGGTGATTGATGAAATCAATCGGAAGTTCTTCACCCTCAGCCTTGGGGCCGTTGTGGGCCAGGCAGTTGTGGGTTGGGAAGAATTGTCCTGAGCCTTTAGCGTTAGGGTCACTGGATGGATTCTGAGATCTCCCCTGTGAGAAGATAAGCCTTGTATTACAGAAAAACATTTCAGGACTGTCAGGGAGAGGTAGAGAAAGGTTTCTTAAAGTCGTACACACTCAGCATAGAGTGTGGGCCCTTGAGGGAGGCATGTTGGGGTCTGGGGCTGGGAGCATCTGTGTGTTTCCAGATGTCCTCAAGACATCTAGGGCATGTGTTCCTACTGTTGTCAGGTTACCCACAGGTTGGCTGGGCTAGCACGCAAATGGTTTGCCTTTGTGAGGAGGGAGTTCTGAGGTTTGAGAATCTGTAGTTTGGGAATTAAAAATGTAGGCTCAATTACAGGTGAAAGGCAGAGGCCCAGTAAGGGCTTTTTTTGTATCTTTAAGACACTTGGAAAAAAAAATTTTTTTTGTAGTGAGTTTCCTGGAAGGTAGAAAAGCAATTTAACCTTGGGTAATTTTGATTGTGTCCCAAAGCTGTGGTTTTCTTGAAAGTATAATTTTAGTTACGACTTTCCCTGTCTCCTTTCTAGTTACCTGTTCCTCGTCTGTCGCACCTTGGTAGAATGCCAAAGCACATCCTTGGCTTCTACTTGAGAGATGTCAGCAGGCACATCGTGGCAATCAAAATCTGCCTCTAAATATTGTCACGTGGTCCCTGGGGGCAGTCACCCTGGCTGAGAACCAGCGGGTCACTGGTCCTTGAGGAATACCAAGTGGTAGTGAGTGCCCTGGCATTGGGAATGGGAGAGGGGAGCCAGAAGCTGGAGTGCTTCCTGGAGGTGCCCCCAGGGGATGTGTGATAGCCTGTCTAGAGGGGACACAGGTGATACAGGCAGCCAGAGTGTGAATCCTGGTGTTCTGCAAGTGGCCATGGTGCTTAAGCTCCCCAGCCTCAGGCTCCTTACCCGCAAAATGGGGCGCCACTAGACTGGCTTTATGAGCATGTGGCAGGCTTACGAAGGCCATAGCTTTTGTGGAGGAAGTGGTGAAGTCTGCTGGTGGCCCCCGGCCACTTCTCTCAGCCTTCACAGCACTGGTTGAAGAGGCAGGCTCCCTAGTTCCTTTCCTGTAGCAGTGTTGCTGGCAGAGCAAAAGCAGTCTTCGTCCCCGACATGGCGCTGTAGCTCATACCCTGGTGGTAGGTCTGAGAACTGCACTGGGATCCATCTGAGCCCTGCCTGACCCCTCACACCCTCAGCCAAATGCTGCGCCCTCAAGGGGAGCTCTGGGAAGTGAGCAGCTAGAGGTGAGGCTGTAGCAGGTTCTGTCCCTTCGTCTACTCTTCCCTTCTGCCCAGCAGCATCTCTGAGGCTGGAATCATTGGCTCCAACCGGCCAGTCCAGGCCAGACACCCCAGGAGAATCAGATCCCCCCAGCCTGGGAATTCAGTGAGCAAAGTCACTCTGCAAGGTACCCACCATTGGGAGGAGTCTTGAGGACAAAGGACAGGGAGTGACTTCCTTACCTGGTGCCCCCAAGAGATCCCCATCTGATCTGTCATTGATTAAACCTGAGAACCTTTCCTCATTTTATGGGCCATGGTGGGGCCAGGTCTTTCTCCACCCCAGGCTGACAGGCTACATCTGCGTCTCTGCCCTGCACAAAGGTCACCGAGAAACTGAGCGAATTGTCCCCTCTTGCCAAGATGGTATTCTTGGACTATGCCATCATCGACTGACACGCTGGGTTAAATGCAGCTTCCTGGACCTCTGTCTCAGAGCATATGCAGGTCATGGTGGAGCCTGGGAAGTAGCATTTTTAACTGTCATCCCAGAAGTTCTTGATGGCATTGATCAGTGGGCCACATTTTAGAAACTGAGTCAGTCCTGATCACATTGAAATTTTGTGTGTGAGATCCTTTGGGTGGCAGTTGTGTGCGTGTGTGTGTACCTGTACGTTTTCTCCGGTTGTGATGAAATTTCAGAAGATAGTAGTTCCCTCTGGGCTTTCCTGTGTTGTTATAATTTATTATAATGTACACGTAATTTGTAATAAGCAGGTATAATACTAAGGCTTTGTGCTGGGCAGGGAAGAACAGAACTATTACAGAAGAAATACTGTCCAGGAAGTAGATTTGGGAAAATGTGGATCTATGGACAAAAGGCCACCAGTGTGGCCTCAACTTCAACTCCCAGAGCCAGCGTCTCCCTCTCCATGCTCCCCAACCTGAGCCAGCCCTTGGAGGCTTGCAGAAGGGAGGAACAACCCACTTCCCATTTTCGAATGGTCTCTTCTTGGTGAAGCCAGAGCTAAAGTGGCACCCGGGAGTCTGGCCGGGTGGCGTCAAGCCACAAAACGGGGCCTTCCTCCTTTCAGCCCCTGTCCCTGGACCCTGGGCCTGGTGCACTCCCCCTCAATCACCCGCCCACTCTCTGACACCCCGGCAGGCCAGGCAGAGCTGGGATGGTGATTTTACAACGCAGTTATTACTCTATTGCTGCCCAGTAAACCCACCCCGGCCCCACAAACACTCCCCGAGAAGGCCAGACCCATCCAGAGAAATGGTTTCCTACACCTTTACAACGTGATGGGAAAAAAGGGGCCGTTGGATTTATGGAAACTATATAAAGTTTATGGAGTCTTGGCAGGCCAGAGGAGTACCGTGTGCAGGGTGGGGGTGGGTGTTCTGAAACATAAGGCCCAGCCAGAGCTGTGGCCCTCTGTGTCCAGACACCAGACGCCACCCTGAGACCCAGGCACACTGTGTGACCCTGGGGACTGGGAACCTGGCTGGGGGAGCAGCTGCCGGGATGCGTTTTGGGATGATCGTGTGTAATCTCCATAACTTTGCTGTGAGAGAGGCATGGCTGTCCTCATCTGTCGGGTAAACTGAAGCAGAGGCATTTTGGAAGGTGCAAACTTGCCCAGGGTCACAGTGTGAGCCTGACTAGATGTTCCAGGGCAGCCTGGGGCTCTCACGGTCCCTCTCTCTAGCATGTTGAGCAATGTGTCCCTTTTTAGGTCTTAAAAACAGGGTCTTCATACTGTTTCAATCTGAGGCTTGTGTGCTATGTGTGATTTCGTCTCATCGCCCCTAGAGAGCCTCCAGTCATCACCCCTATGCTGGAGCTGGTGGGGGGAGTTGCCCACTGGTCTTGGCTGAGCCAGAGATGAAGCCAGCCAGAGGCTGGTGCTGGGCCAGGGCAGAGTTCAAGCACGCAGTCTCCGCATTCTGGACCCCCAGGTCTCCATCTCCCATGGATCCCTCTTAGGGCCCTGCAGAAGCAGCTGGGGAGTGCCCAGGCCCCTCCTCCTCTCCCAGCACCCTTAGCGCTTCCAGTCCATTTCTCCTCCCACGGGTGCCCCGTGACATCTATATGATCTCTCTCCTGCTCTGCTGTGAATTCTTGGAGTGCAGATTCCATGAATGCTTAATTCTTCATTGCTGATTTTGCCTACAGAGCCTGGCATAGTTCCCAGCATATAATAATCACTACATAAATACTGGCTGGAGGGATAAATGGATGGGTGGACAAGTGCATGGACAGAAGAATGGGGGGTGATGGGTGAATGAATGCTTGGAGGGATAAAGTATGTGTAGATCGTCCGCATTCACGCCCTGGAGTGCAGTTACAGCAGCAGTCTGGCCAGGCTCTCACAGGCTTTTACTAAATGCACTTCTGTTGCAGGGCATACCCTTTGCTGTCTCTGAGGCCCGATGGAGAAACCAGCCTACGTGTTTGAATGTGTGTGTAAATACTTTACAGTCCCCATAAACTGGTTTAAAGACAGGTGGGGTGCAAATATAAACCGGGGCAGCCTTTGGGGAGGGCAGTTTGGAAGTAGCTATTAAAATTTTAAATGTGCCTACCACTAAGACCCAGCCGTTCCACTTTGAGTTGGAAAGGGTAAGAAATACATTCGTGCTTTGTGCACAGAGAGCCAAGGGCCAGGGCACGAGAGAGAGAGAGAGAGAGAGAGAGAGAGAGAGGGAGGGAGAGAGAGAGAGAGAGAGAGAGAGAGAGAGAGAGAGAGAGAGGAGAGAGAGAGAACTGAAAAATCACACACAGCCTTCACGTCCATCCAGTGGGGGCAGTGACCTCAGGCCGTGGGAGACGCTGCAGTTGCCAGAGAGAGTGAGGTAGATCTGTCGCTGCAGAGGCAGGAAGATCTCAACTGGGGACCAGGCTCCAGAAGTCCGAGACCGTGACTCATGGGTGGGCACGCGGCCCTCCTGCTGCCTCCCATCCCTGCCACCTCCTCTCCCTTCTCCTCCCCTGGCTCCCCATGAAGCAGTTTACTGGAATTAGATCTTTTCACTCTTTCACTCTTACACCTACTTGCCAGTGGGTGACCTTCCCTTTCAGAAAAGGAGAGAAATGAGAGAAAAGCAGTAACGAGCACAAGCACTGTCTGCCGACTTTTCAATTAAAAAGATTGAAAGGCGTAATATTAAAATGTGATTTACGGAGGCCAAGAGGAGAAAGAAAGCACTCTAGTCGTTACAGAAAACTGTAGGCTTTTCCCCCCTGCAGGAGATAAATTGGCTCCCACTTTCTTACTGCTGAAGAAGTGTGAAAGTGGCTTCGGCATCTGCGATATGTTGAAATCCAGACCACAGTGATTTAGGAGACCTCTGACTCTGGCATTTCGGGGGAGCCCCCTGAGGGGTGTGGCAGCTTAAAGCCGTGGGCACTGTGACCTCTGCGGGAACAAGGTCCAGCTCCTCCAGGGCCTTCAGACAGCTCCGGCCAGTGTGCTCGGAGAGGTGGGGGGGGCAAAAGCTCAGCAGCCGTGGTCCCCGCTTGGCTGTGAGTCGGTTCTTCTCACTTTCTTCATCTGAAAAATACAGATGCTAACCCTGCCGACTGTGCAGCCCTGGGGCGAGTATGCCGTCTACCGGGCCTCAGTTGTCTGAAGGTTGTCATGGGTCTGCCCGGGGTTACAGTGTGGACCAAATTTGGTAACGCATGGGCAAGGCCTAGCTTGGCTTGGGCCCCACAGTGAGTGCTCCTGCCTCTTGGTAAAAGCACGCTTATTCCTGCCTGCCGCAGACACCTTGGCCATTGTCAGAAGAGCTGGTGTTCAGTCCCAAGCCTTCCATTTCCAGGGCGCCTGCGGATGTGGGGCCCAGACCTGAGTGTGGCCCTACTCCATCTCCCGGCAGCCGCCCCTGGGTCCTCTTGGCCGTTTTGCTCGCCTGGAGAGGATGAGTTTCCCCTGGTCAGGGATGTTGTAAGCTTTACAGATTCATAGAGACAGGCAGCCCCTTGCAGAGGAGAAGGGAGTCCAGGGATGGAGTGGGGGGAAAAGAAAAAAGATTCAGGTGCAACATGTATGTGTACCAACTCCCCTGAAATGAATGTATTCATTATGTATCTCAAACATGTTCTTATAAAAACATAAATGAAAAACAAATGGCCTCAAATGGAGCTGGTGGCTGGCAGAGGCCCTGCACCGTGAAAGCTCTTGGTGAAGGAGCCCTTTAGGGCATCACTGGCCTCGGACAGAGGGATCCAGTCCTGGTTTATTATGTCCTTCCGTTATGTCCCTGGTTTATTTTGTCACTGTGGCTCCATGACAGGTGCCTAGAACTCTCCCTTCTTGGAAGATTCGAGGATTTTCCAGGCTCTAAAAATTTCGCTACCGAAGAGGGATGAGTAGCCTTGTACCGAGGACAGTGCTGTGCCTGGTGTGTGGGATCCCAGACGTCCTTAGGGTGGTTTCCCCACTCTCAGCATGCAGATGGGACACAGCGTGGGAAGCTGGTCTGAGGCATTAGTCTTTCCACCACTCTCGGGGCGAGCCCCAGAGCCCCCACCCTAAAATCCAGTCCCTGGCTTCACCCCAGCCTGCCTCCATGCTCACCCAGCTCATGAGACCTTTCTTAGCCAGTCTCAGCCACTAGGTGGCCACTGGGCCCTGCTGCCTGAGAGCAGCAGGTGTGTGTGTGTGTGTGTGCACTCATGGGTTCTGCAGGGCTCCGGGCCTCCGCTGAGGAAATGGGTTCAGGGTGCCACAGGAGGCCTGGCCTGCCCCTCCTGGGAAGGGCTCCCTGTTCTTACCTGGACACTCCCGGCCTCTGTCTGCCATCTACACCACATCTCCCTGGGAAAGGGAAGGCAGGATTTTACATATACAACACCAGCAGCTAACAGCTAACCACGTGTCTTTGTTGTCAGTTGAGAGGGAAAATGTGCAGAAGAGGACTTTTACTCGATGGATAAATCTACATCTTGAAAAGGTGAGTGATGATTTGTGGACGAGTTAAGTGGTAGACATTTCTATTACTGAGTCTAGAGCTCCTAGAAGGGTGTGGAGGAGGCAGCTGTTCTGTTTTGGGTTTTGGTTGTTTTTTGTTTGTTTGTTTGTTTGTTTTTTGAGAAAAGATTTTACTATGTAGTTCAGGCTGGCCTTAAACTCACTGTGCTGCCCAGCCTGGCTCAAACTCAACAGTGATCCTCCTCCCTCAGCCTCCTGAGTTTTGGGACTACAGGTGGCTCTCTGGTTTTTGTTGGCATCGTTGTCATTTGAGCATATATGTCCACCTCTGAAGGCTGCTCCCACACCCATGTAGTATGTGCTGTCTGCCCTCCTGCAGTCATCAGCAAAGTTGAGGCGGGAACGCTGGAGCAGATAGCGGACAATATTGATGCCAAACAGTCGCACACTTCATAGACACAAGGTGGTCACTATGCGCCTCAAACCCTTCCTGGCACAACCTGGGGTCCCTAGCAGGCTCTATTAGGAGGCGCTTGTTGGCATCGGACTGAGTTACACGAGAGCTCTGGATGTCTCTCAGCAAAACTAGACGCCCGTTCACGTAACAATGATGTTGGTGCTAAAGTACCTGCCAGGATCCTGCTCGGTGCACTGCACCCGCTTGTCTCCTTCCATCCCTGGACAGCCTGAATTGCCCTCTGCTGCATTGCACCCCTCTCCCAAGCTCTTTATGTGGCTGCTCTGGCCCATTTAACTCATTGGCCCCTCGCTTCCCATTTGTTTACTTGCTGTGTTTTTTGGCCGTGCTGTTTTGAGTTGCATTTTGTCTGCAGGCTGCTCTCACACGCACTGTACCAGAGCAGCCAAACTGTCTCCTTCCAACAAAAGGCTACAGAGGAGAGCAGAGCAGTCGGAGAAGCAGTCCCGAAGGGGAAGGGGGAGTACAGCAGCAGGAATCCGAGCCCTCCTCCCTGGGAAGGCTGGGCCCCGGGACTGCTAGCACTCACTCTAGAAAGTAGTAGGACAAGAGATGAATTTTTCCCTTTTTGAGAAAGCTGCTATATCAGGATTCATTTCACCAACTTTGCCACTTCCTCCTCCCTCAGCACCTCCAGCTACACCAGCCAGCATCTCATTCCTCACGGAAGCTGGTTCTGCCTCGCTTTAGGGGTTTCCCGCATGTCTCTGTTCTCCTTTTAAAAGGTGTAAGATTTGCTATTGGCTGCTCTTAGAGGAAATCATGGCAAGGATTAGAAATCAGGGAAAATAAATGGGATTTTTGGAAGAGGAGCTCTGGACTGAAATTCTGATTCGCAGGGTTCACCCTCAGGCTAATATATTTCCCGGGCAGGCACCTGACCCCTGCCCTCTGTGCTCACCGCAGAATGGGTTAGCACAGCGCTGTTTCTTAACCCACCATCATCTTGACCTCTTCAAGTCAACGAGTGCACACAGTGCACGAAGCGTTGTTAGTCATTTACCAGTGGATTTGACCATTGGTGCATTTTTGGCATCGCTCGTAAAGTGAAGTGTTATTTTTTTGAAGAAAAAAAAAAAGCAGGGGGGTGGGGGGACCAGTCTCTAACCTCGAGTTCACTGAAGTCCTAAATTAATGCCTGATGTATGTCAGGGTGGTTGGAAATTCCTACTGGGGAAACCAAGTAGAGCTGTGGAGTATTTCTTTCTTTTTTTAATTAAAAAAATAAATACAGAAAAGAACAGAGGGTCATATAGCAAATCCCCCACACTCACTCACCACCCAAAGTGAACCTCTGCTAGCATTTATCATTTCAAGGGTTTTCTCCTCAGCCAAGCTGCTGCCCCTTTCCTGGGGCAGGTGGGCAGCGCCAGCTCCAAAGATAAATCAGATAACACCTGAAGCTGATGCGTAATAAACAGGGCCAAATTAACAGCCGTGTTTCCAATCCTGAGACTTTCAAGAACAGCCTTTCATGGGAAGGAAACCCAGGAACTCCTTGGTGAATTGGGCTTAACTGCAATTTGAAGGCTGTCAGGAATATTTACTGAGTCTCTGGGCTTCTGGAAAAATTCCCTAATTTACTGAAGGAGTTCGATCATGCAGAAAGCCCTGGGGGAGCTGTTGCTTGGGCCATACCGATCCCCTGAACGCTCAGCCAAGTGTTTTGGCTGGAGCCGTTTCAATCCCTCCCCAGCGTCCAGCACGATGGCCCCAGGCCAGGCCGTGTGGAAGCCTCTGTGCCGAGTAGCTCCTGCAGGGACAGCCAATGCAAACCATTCTTCAGGTCTGAGTCCAGAGCCAGGCCGGCCACGGTCGGGCTGGTAACACGGAAATTTTGTTAGTCCATTTATCAGGGGTGTTTTGTCGGGGTCTCTCATTTTCTGCCTCGCATTAACGGGAATAACATTTCCGTAAGAGCCTGGTAACCTGATGCCGATGCTGCTGGGGTGGAATGTGCCCAAGGAGCCACGGGAATTTGCAAAGAAAATAGTTTGCCTTTTGGTTCAAAGTCACTGCTGCCCTTGAAGCAAAGCCCTTTTCTGTGCACCTGTGGGTATAATCACCCTGTATTTTGACTAACTGGGGGCACAGGGACTCATATAAAGTGTAAGGAAATGCCACCTTCCTTAATAAAAAATAAAACACAGGCCCACCGAGGCTGCCTGGGACAGGGGGCTTTCCCAGAGGAAAAGGCGGCTCTTTGCCAGGGCACTGTGTTTCCAAGACTTCCCTTCTCCCTGGGTCTCTGTCTGGTTAGGGTTGCCACAGCCCCAGGGACACTGCAGCCCATCGGTCCTGTCTTCTGTGTGAGTGCCCAGCCTTCTGCTGTCCCAGGAGCAGACAGAGCATCTGGCTGTAGCAGGGTTAGAGGGGGGACTTCGCTCGGGGTGGGAGCTCACAAAGAGTGTAGTGTCTGGGTCCTGTTCCCTAAGGTTTAATGTTGTGTGAGGGGAGTGAGGTCAGGTAGGTGTGGTCCGCAGACCCTGGGGTGGGTTGCGGGGAGGAGCCCCACCAGGGCCCAGAGGCCAGAGTATAACTGTCTCCCAACCATGCCATCTAAGTGAGGGTCTGGGGACAACTGTGTCCAGCCAGTGTGGCCTGATATAGGGGGTGGCTCCCACATCCACATCCAGAAGACTGGCTTCCTGCCTCCCCTGAGGGGATGCCTGGAGGTTTCCTCTTGCTCTGACAATGAATCTCTGACATAGTTTTGGGGATTACACAAGTCCCTCCCTTGTCAGCTCTTTTCTTTCCACTGCTTCCACAGTGTGACCCACCTCTAGAAGTTACAGACCTCTTCGTTGATATACAAGATGGCAAAATCCTAATGGCTTTGTTAGAAGTCCTGTCGGGGCGGAATCTGGTATGTATATCACAGAAGGATTGGGAAGAAATAAAACACCAAGGAAATCACTGCCGAAGGTGTCTTAGCTTTCTCTCTCGGTGACAAAATACCAGAGATAAGCAGTTCACGGAGGAAAGGTTTATTTTGACTCCTAATTGCAGAGGTTGCAGTCCATGGCTGCTGGGCCCTGTGACTTTGGACTGTGAGGAGTCTGATCATCATGCAGATAGGATGTAGCAATGTCACTGCTCACCTCATGGGGCCAGGAAGTACAATGAGAGAGGAGAGGCCAGCTCCCTCATCCTCCCTTCACTTCCTTCACCCAAGCTCTGCCTCCTGAGGGTTCTGCTACCTCCTAATCCTTCCATAGGCTGGCAACCAAGTGTGTAGCCTATCGGCCTCTGGGACCGTTTAAGATCCATTCCATAAGAGGAGGTAAATATGCGCGCACACAAACACACACACACACACACACACACACACACACACAGACAGACATGGTCGTATGACAAGAACCACGGAAGGGTGACATTCCTTTATCAGTGACACAGAGTGATATAACCACGTAGCTAAGCAGTATCTTACTAAAAGGCAGAAATATTTTGGTGAGTAAGAAAACAAACGGCCAATATTTTTGGTGTGCCTGTGATGAATAAAAATTGAAATCAGAAAATTAGAAATTTAGCTAGCCTATCATCATTATATGAACTGGAAGAATAGCTAAGGATCAGAAAGACTGAAGACAGCGGACTCTCCGCAGCCAATTTCTGTTATCTGACCTGAGAGTAGTCTCAATAGTTGGCTTCTAGAATGTTCCTTTAGGTTTTAATGAAGTTGAATTGCACCAGCTGGTGGGGACATTTGCTCCACTTTGGACATGGGCCAGTCCTCACTGTGATGCAAATATCTGCTGCATGCAGATTGGTCCTTTCCTCCCCAGGTTCTGTCTTGGCGCCATTGACATTTTGGGTCAGATAGTTGTTTGCTGTGGGGAATTGTCCTGTGCATTTCAGGACCACTACCTGCTGTTAGCCCCCTTCGGTGTGGTGACCAGAAATGTCCCACACATGCCCCTGAGGGGCCAGCGTGATCCCACCCCAAATGCCAGTGGTGTCGAGGTTGAGAATCCTACTCTAGACTGAGGGTGTGGTTTGGGCTCGGTGACCCATCGTTGCCTACGCTGGTGCAATGGAGCTCCCACCAGCAGCCATGGCCTCTTCTGCCTTGTTTTCAGCGGTTGAACCCCAAGAGTCCCACTTCTGTTCTCAGATCCCATATAGCCAGCTCTGATCTGATCACTCCTCTCACCCTTCCTGCCGTAGCTGTTAGCCACCCTGGGAAGGAGCTGCACAGGTTAGTTAGGAATTCTAGTGAAGGGCAGAACCATTGCCTCAGTAAAATAGCACTGGGTTTCTTAGCAGATCAGAAAGAGCTAGCAGTTTGGTTTCCAAAAGCTTCCAGAAAAAGTATGTCCTTGTCCCTTGTTTGGTGCCCAGTGACTCGGGGTCCCTGCTTTGTTGCCAGAGCACTAGGGTGGCAGCCTTGATGCCCTGGTGAGCATATGCTGGCAGCCCAGCCAAGAACAGGCCTCCACTTCTCCACCAGCTCAGCCCTTCCCGGGACGTTTACTCCAGGGGCTGGAGTGTTAGAGCTGACATTGTCAGGAGCTGCGCTTCCTCAGCCCTTACCTCCCTCAACCTGAGATAGCTGTCCACAGAGCCCTTGGCTAGAACCCAGAAACATCTGCTGCTGCTGCTGCTGGGGAGGGCCTGGGTGATTTAGCAGCTGAGCCTTGATGGGGACAGCAAATGCTTGCAGCACTAACAAAAGCATCAGGCCAGCGAAGAGAGCAGGTCTCTGGAGAAGCTGGAGTCTAACAAGCCAGGAGCTGGGCTGGAGCGAGAAATGGGACAAATTTGTCCCTTGGTAACCTGCTTGGGTCCCCCATGCACCAAGGCAGAGTTAAGTCCCACGTAATGTAAATGAGCCAGACCTCCAGGGCCCCTGATGTCACAGGCGCACGTCCCAAGCTGCACAGGTTTGGTTGCAGGCCAAGTGGGTTTTAGCCATGAGCCCCTAACTTTGTCCAGAAATTCACTTGAAAACGATGAAGCAGAAGGAACTCAAGGCCCGTGGTGCCCTTGGGCATTCCAAAGGGGCTGCATGGGGTCAGCCGGCTCATCTTGTTCTGTTGTTTTGCAGCTGCACGAGTACAAATCCTCCTCACATCGGATTTTTCGGTTGAACAACATAGCGAAAGTACTTAACTTCCTGGAAGACAGCAACGTGAGTGTTTGAAGCGCATCTCACTCAGGAGCTTGTCTGAGGGTGGAGGACTAGCTCAGAGTCAGTGCTGGTCACTGGAGAAATGTGGAAAGGGCACCTAGCTAAATGGTGAAGCTAACCAAAGACTAAGTGGATCGCAGATAGCTCAGAGAAGCCACCCACTGGGGAGACAGCCCCTCAACGCCCGCCCCTCCCCTTACCCATCGGGATCAGGACTCCAGCCTTGGTCAGTCCTGGAGGGGCCGGAGCTGCTAACCAGATCTTTGGAATGAATTGATTTCTGCTTTTCAGGTCTTAGAGCAAGAGTGAAATGAGACAGGGTGTAAAACTTTCTCTTGGGACTTCGAGAGGGCGTGGGCTTGATGTGCCCGGAGGCACTGCAGTGTCCTCTCCCTGGATAGGGCCGCCTGGGCTTCACTGCTGTCTGGTCCATGTCTGGAGCTCCGCTCTGTGTCCTTCCTGGGTGTGAGGAAGCGGCGTGGGGTGAAATTCCCCATCTTCCCTTTCTTTAGTCATGGCAATGAACCTGGGTTAAAAGTCTTCGCTCACCTGATGCTTCTGCCCATGCAATAAAACCTTTTCCTGAAGTGTGAGTCATTCAGGGTTCTTCATGGTGATGGAAGCAGACAGTAGCTGATTTCAGCAGTAAAGGAAGTTGTCAAAGGGACACCAAGTAGCTCATGGATGACCTGAGATCTCAGGATGGAACCTGGGGCTGGAACCTGGGGATAGAACCCAGGAGAGCACTGTTCTTTGTAGCCAAAAAGTGGGAACAACCCGGAAGCCCATCAGCCAACCAGTGGCTCAACAAAATGTGGTCTCTCCTACCATGGAATACTGCCTGGCCTTAAAAAGGTGTGGACACTGATACACATCATAGATGAATCATGAAGACTCTCTGCTAAATGAAGAAGGACTGATGCACAGAACCACTGATTTCTGGTCATGGTGGCACATATCTGTAATCCCAGCACTTAGGAGGCTGAGGCAGGAGGATCACCTTGAGTTCAAGGCCACTTTAGGCTACATCATGAGTTCAACCTGAGCCTGGACTACATACCAAGAGCCTGTCTCAGAAACAAGCAAAAAACCCATTTATGGTGTGGTTCCACACATGTGAAATGCCCCAGGGGTGCACAGTGTAGACACTGTCTTGGGGACAGAGCTACTCAGGAGCGGAGGGCAGAGAACCGAGTGCAGTTGATGGAGGGGGCAGGGGCGGGAACGGAGCGGAGGGGCCACTCCTGAGCAGCACGGCTCAGGCTGCACGTGGCGCCTGCGCTGCAGCTCTCCGGGTGGTCGAGGCTTCCTGAGCCTCTACTCAGAGAGCTCTGTGGTTTGGACACAAGTTCGGCGCCAGGCCTGGAAGCTGGAGCCCCCACGCTCGCGGCACCGGACTGGCTTTCGCTCCTGCAGAGGCGTCACTGGCGCTCCAGAAGGAACGCCTTTCGGTGCATCCGGGGAATGCTTTGTTCTCCACACTCCCCCGAGAAGTGATCGCCCTGCTGTTCATTTCACCCATTGGTGCTGTGTCATGTCCACGCAGACACAGGCTCCCTGCAGTCGGTTCTAGGACGTTTTCGTCACCTCTGAAAGATGCCTGTGCCTCTGGCTCCACACTTTGCCCCTGTGTCTTCCTCAGCACCGAGCCAGCACTCATCCACTTTCTGTCCCGAGAAATTTCCCTGTTTGCACAGAGGGAGAAGGAAGAGCCTTGAGGACAGCCTGGAGTCTTCCAGCAACTGCGTGGGGCCCCCTTGCCCTTCCACCGCAGCCGGCTTCAAAGCTCTCCTGCTCTGTCAGCACCGCACTGTGGGGTCTGATGGAAGGCAGCGGGCGGACTGTTGCCTACGTGCCCCCAGGTTGGTTGAGGCTTGCATTCAGCAGCCGTCTGGGTCGCCTGACAAGTGTCTTCCGTGGACCTGGGGCTGTGCCCAGCATGGGGGACAATCAGCTGCCCGAGGGACACATCCGAGCCTTCAAGATGTTCAGGCAGTGACCTCCCGTGGACAGCGTGCTGCTCGTGCTGCTCGTGCACCCTCCAGGCCAGGAAGATGATCCTGTGGCTACGAGAACCCACAGCAGGGCCCAGCAGGCTGGGATGGGGACGCATCTGCGCACGAGTGTGACGAGGAGGAGCAGGGCCACGGCTTGGGAAGGCCTGGCTTCTGCAGTCTGGGCACGGGACTCCCAGACTTTATGCAGTGGACTGTGAGCACTGCTTCTCCTCTCCCTTTGCTATGTAGAACCTGGAAACACCCCGATTGTGGGTGCATGTCAGCCTCCGGCCTCGTGTGGCCCGGTGTGCCAGGCTGGGAGGGCACAACAAGCCCACGGGAAGGAGACCTTTCCGGTGCCACCTTCTCTGTCCCAGCCCCAGAGTCCACAAAAGGCTCAGGGGAGCCCTCACTGGCATCTTCCTATCTGGCTGTCCCAAGCCTCAGTGGCTCTGCTGGGCAAGAGCATCCCAGACTTAGGGATGGACCTGAAGGCTGCCTGTGAGCCCCCTGCTCTCCCACAGATGATGTCACAGAGGCTGCCCCACAGGACAGTGAGCCTTTCAGCTCTAGTCTTGGCTCCCTCATCTGTGAAATGGGCACATCGTGGGGTCTAAAGGAACGGATGGCAGGTGGCGGGTGCTCCCTGGAGGAACCTTCAAGCTGAGGTTACCACCCAGGGGGAGAGAGACTCATCTCATAAATCAGTTGAGTTTCCAGCTGCAGAACCAGCTGAGTTAGGAGGAGGTCACGGATGGTTTCCACGAAGCTCTTGATGGGCCTCCTGTACCACACCTTTCTTCTGCCCCGCCGTGTGCTTCCTTCTCTAAGTGGCTGCTGCCCACCCAGCTGTCCCCTGTCCCTCCCTCAAGATGGGCACCGTGATTCCAAGGGGTCCCTGAATAGCAGCTCTGGAACCTCAGCTCAGGGCCGTGGCCGTCCCTTGTTGCGGGGGCTTCCTCTGCGTGGAGTGAAGACAGGGATGATGGCAGTGACTAACTGCTTTGATCCCAGGGCTGGAATGCGTTCCGTAAGCCACAGAAATGGGGAGCTGTCAGAGGCGGGGTTTTGCAAGTGATTTGTCATGTGGGCCGTGTGCTTGTGCCACATGTGGACAGCGCTCTGGACCTGAATTTGATCAGCTGTGGTATTCATAATATTGACAACTTCCTTCCTGGCCTCCCATCTGCCAGGATGAGCCTGTGTTGTCTGAATTATATTCTTGGCATCAGCCCCCAAAACAGACTTCACCCAGGGAGCTTGGACGTCTCCCTCGATTAGGTAAGCCCAGTCTCATGATTGGTGTTGTCAGAGACCTGGGACACGCTGATAGGATCACAGACTCAAGTCAAACAATTCAAAAAGACAGTGTGGAAAGGTAGAGGAAAGAAGTGACAAAGAGAGAAACGATTTTGGATGAAACAGTCTCTTCAGTTTTTTCTTCCCCACGTGTCCCAGGCTGAATGTTGCGGTGTGGATTTCAAAGTTTCTTAAGCGGGATTCACCTGGCTTCTCCTCTCTCCCCTTCAAGAGTGATTTGTTCACTTACGCAGGGTTGTTCAGCAAGAAGAGGTGGCCTGCAAAGCCTTGCTTTCGCTCTGGCCTTTCCCCTCCTTTCCAAGAAGGTTTGCAGAGCCCTAAGCCACTACTGACATTTGTTTGCAGAGTGAAAAAATGACTTGGAACAATAATCCTCTAATCCCAGACTTTGCTGTTAAAGTGCGGATTGTGGGGGGTTGTATTTCTGATGAGCCACAAGGGACAGTGCACTTGGCCTTAGGGATTTAGCAAGGGCGGTGCCCCACATTGAACTGTTAAATAAGTGGGTAATTCCACAGGGTGTCTACGGCAGGCTCTGAGTCTCTGGGTATAAACCACACCCCAGCTCCCCCTTGCCCCTCAGCGTTCCGTGATGGCAGGCTCCAGCCTCCTGGCATGTGTCCACAGTGCGAAAATCTGAAGGTCTGACAGCCTTAAGGCAGCATGCAGGCAGACGGCTGGGCACACCTGCCCCTCAGAAGAGAATGATGGAAACCTCAGGAGCTATGTGGCCCTGGGCATGTTGTATTTAACTTCTCGGAAGTGTCCCCCGGCGCTTGAGGAAAGTAGAATACACACATTGTAGGCTTGCGGTGAGGGTACACTGGCTTTAGTACTGGCAAGAGTTTAGTCTTGTGTCTGCTCGCGCTAAGCACAGTATACATGTTTATTAGTACACATCGGCACTCTGGGTGTCCCAGAGGTGGCCTCGAGCAGGGTCGGGCGACACGGTGGGGGGGGGCACAAGAGAAACAGGCTTACAAGGTGCACAGGGGTAACGTGGGTCAGCGCCCCCGGAAAGCCCCTTTAAATGCAGAAAGTGCTTCTCCCCAGGTAAAACTGGTCAGCATTGATGCAGCGGAAATAGTGGACGGCAACCCCTCTCTGGTTCTCGGGCTGATATGGAACATCATCCTCTTCTTCCAGGTAAAACCGCTCACCTTCATCCCACACAGTCACCGTCTCGAGTCTGCTGAAGGCCAAGAGAACAGCGTATGTCCAGGGCAGGGGAGAGAAGAGGCTCAGTTCCCGCAGCTTGATCTCTCACTGAAAAGGAACTGAGAATAGGAAAAGCGTGGCTCCCTGTGTAGTGATGGCTTCCTTGCCCGCTTCAGGAGGATTTATGGGGGCTCTTGGCCCAGGCTTGCATTTACTGAGCATTGGCTTAGTATTTGGGGGGTGCAGATCCTGTTCTGAGAGAGCATTGAACTTTTAAAAAAAAAAGGTGTTCTGTTCTTTTCCCCATGCCTGTTTCCATGTCTGAAATGGGAGCCATGTGGGAGAGCCCCTGTTATCCAGCATTCAAGGCAGTTTGTATCTGTCATCAGATTTCCTGAGTGATGCTGGCGATGTCTTAAAGTTGGGGCCTTGCGTCTATCCACCTATTCCAGATCTTCCTCCATTCTTTTAGTAGATGTGTGTTACGTTTCTGCTGTTCCAGGTGCTGGTCGTATATCACAACCCTGTCCTCGAATCTCTCTAGGATCACAGACAAATGCACAAGGGACAGTTACCTCAGATGGCCAGGGTGGGGGCAGCGGGAGAAAGAATTCCCTGGAGGAAGTGATCAGAACTGGGTTTTGAAGGATGAATAGGAGTCTGCCAGACCACTGCTTCTCATACTTACTGTGCATATGAATCACCTGGGAATGGTGTTGAAATGCAGATTCTAATTCTCTTGGTAGGTCTAGAGCTTGGGGCCTGCATTTCTCACAAGCATCTCTGAGATGGCACAAAGGGCCATCCATGTAGCAGGAGCTGGAGAAGCAGGGTCAGCGGAGGAAACAGTGCCCCCTGCAGGGCATAGTTACAGGTACCCCAGCCACAGGCAGCATTAGAGCTCGTGGTGCCCAAGGTCTGCATGGCTGAGGTCGGATCCAGACCCGCGTGCTGGAGGCTGAGTGTGCTGCAGAGGTCTAACGCTCCCTTCTTCCAGATTAAGGAGCTCACAGGCAACCTGAGCAGGAACTCCCCATCCTGCAGCCTGTCACCCGGCTCGGCGGGCACAGACTCGGACTCCTGCTACCCACCCACGCCCACCGCGCAGGGGAATGCAGGCATCACCGGGAAAGACCAGAGGAGGGCCATCAAGACCCTGCTGGCGTGGGTACAGAGGAAGACCAGGAAGTAAGCAGCAGCCTCTCCGAGCTGTGCTCCGGGAATGGGCACCTTGGGGGCGAGGGAGGAGTGGGCCTGGCCCTGCCCAGTGCTCTGTGCAGATCACACATGTGCGTGTGCACAGGCACACAGGTACGCACAGAGGTGTTCACAGACCTGAGAGGAATCAGAAGGACTTTTGCCACCATAACGCCCCAAATGGGCACGTCCCTTGGATTCTGAGAACACCTGAGTGTTTATCAGCCTCGAAACGTTTTCCAGAGTCTGGGCCTCTTTAAAAATAATAACAAAGGCTGTAACTTACTGGCAGTCAAGGGTGCCCTTCCCCAAAGACAGACAGGTGGACTGGACCCACGCCCGGCCTCCTGCGGCCCTATGCCAGCAGCGATTCCGACTCCAGCCTTTTACCGGCAACCCTGAGCAGGGGGCAGGGTGCCAGCCAGGGTGAGGAAGCCACGCCCACTCAGGCGCGGGCTCTCCAGCCTCACCTTGCTGCCTTCCAGGGTAGTCAGGAAATGAAGTCTGCAGTGGCTTGCATTGGGCCAGCCCCCACTAGGCACTTAACAAGAATGGGTCTGGGTGCTGACGTCTTAAGAAAGAGGAGGAGTTGGGTCTTTTGGTTTCTGTCTTGAGTGTGAAAGATTAGAGTTGATGGCCGAGAACAGCTGATAAATGGTTAAACAACTAGCGCCAGGCGTGGCAGTGCAGTCCTGTAATCCCAGCACTAGTGAGGCTGAGGCAGGAGGATCACTGTGAGTTTGAGGCCACCTGAACTACATAGTGAGTTCAAGTCCTGACTGAACTACAGAGCGAGAGCCTATCTCAAACAACAACCAAAAAAAAAAAAAACCAGTTCAGTGAAGAGATTGCATGATGAAGGTGCTGTCCTGTGGGGTCCTAAAGGGAATTAGTGCCTGGCGGGATTCTCTTTCTGTGCCCCTCACTTTCAGAGTTGTACTTCATCTATATTAATGACGATGGTAGCTGGCACTTAGTGAGTGGCTTCTGGGTGCCTCCTGCTCTGCACTCGGGGCTGACCCTACGGGCCAGCACATCCTCCCCTACGACAGCCCCAGAAGCCATGACTCTTATTTTATAGCAGAGGGGCTTGAGGCTCAGAGAGGGTGTGTGCCTTGCCCCAGGCCACAGCGCCGGAAGTGCAGAGTGGGCAGCTGAGGGACAAGCTCCGTTCTCTGTCCAGTTCTGTTGCCACATTGCCAGTATTGCCTGCCAAGCACCAGCTGTGCATTGCTCTGTACATGGGACTCAGGGTCCATTTTGCCTCTGTGCAGCCTGCACCCCCATGTGCTCTGCCTGCAGATGGAGATGCTAGTGTCACTGTCCCTGTACTTGGGCCAGGGCATCTGCACCTGCTGAGGTTGGCAGTGTTGAGCTTCCTCCAGGAGCAATGAGGCTGCTGCACACTGCCCTCTCATCTCAATCCCATGTCCCAGCCTGCATTGTGGCTGCCACTGTTTTCCTCCAGGTATGGCGTGGCAGTGCAGGACTTTGCGGGCAGCTGGAGAAGCGGGTTGGCTTTCCTGGCTGTTATCAAGGCCATTGACCCCAGCCTGGTGGACATGAAGCAGGCCCTGGAGGAGTCACCGCGGGAAAACCTAGAGAAGGCTTTCCGCATTGCACGTGAAGCACTGCACATCCCCAGGCTCCTGGAGCCGGAAGGTGCAATGATTTTCCTCTTCTTCCTCCCCTTTTAATCTTTCGTTGCAGATCCACCGCTTGCTATCCCAAGTTGTAAAATGCAGAAAAATCTAGGGAAGAAATTTTTGTTTTCTGTATTCCAATATTTTTCTATTGCATTTAATTATATCTTTTACATAATTGGTATCACTCAGTGTAGATATAATTTTGTCTCTCTTAATTTAACACAGATGTATCTTGCATATTGCTAGAAGGTCCTTTTCTTGGTATTTTTCTTGGTGTAGCGTAGTCCCTCTAAGAGGCTTACTGAATTTACTCAGCACACCCGTACCTGCTGGCAATAGATCACTTTTTCCCTGGCACAATGGCACATGCCTGTAATCCCAGCTGCTTGGGAGGCTGAGGCAGGAGGTTCACTAATTCAAAGCTAGCCTGAGCAACTTAGTGATATCCTGCCTCAAAATAAAAAAAGGGCTGGGGATGGGGCTCTGTGCTAGACTTGGGTCCCCAGTACCACCGGGGCAGGAGGGAGGGAGGAGGACCACTTTTGTGCACACTAAGGTGCCCATCTCACTGCATACACCTCAGCCTGCAGCTCAGATTAGTCCCATGGGACTGGACAGAGGGAGAGAGGACCCATCTTCAAGAAGCTCCTCTTTCGACATGAGCTTAGTGAAGTTGGGGGGCCCTGCAGCAGCCTGGGAGGTGCCCAGTGCACCCAACTTGCTGATGGAGCTGGCGGGGAGCTGACTGCTCACAATGGAAGGGCTCAGTTCCTTGGTCCATCAGCCATCTGTGCAGTGCCAGCCCACGCCTCACCCCCGAGGAGCGGTGCCATGTGTCCTGCTGACACCTGTCTCTCTCCACAGACATCATGGTCGACGTGCCGGATGAGCAGTCCCTCGTGACCTACGTGGCACAGTTTCTAGAACGTTTTCCGGAGCTGGAAGCCGTACGTCTGCCTCCCTTGTCTTTTGTTCAGGAAGTGAGCGCTTGCATCGCTGGTCATCAGACCTGGCGGGCTTGGGTCCTGTCAATCTTCAAGCCAGCAGTGACGACAACCCCCAGTTGATCTTGACTTCCTTGCCTTGCCCCATTTTAATTTCTGAGTCACACTAGCTATCTGTTAGGTGGATAATGGGTTGGAAAGTTAAACGGTCACGTACCACACAAACCTCTTCCCGTACCAGACTTTGTTCAGAGTAGATAACAACTCACTCCCGGGAACTCATTGAGATCCCATGGCAGTGACATCAGTTCCTCCTGAAGGCAGCACCCCCAGCGACCCCACAGCCTTGCACCAGGCTCTGACCCGCAGATGTCCACCATGGCTCACATCCCACATGGCCACTAAGCCCTTGGGGACAAACCTTCCCCCACAAGTGGCACCCAGAGGAAGGGATGATCGTCTGGCTTTATCAGGACTTGATCAGAGCTGCGTGGCCATTTTATCTGATTTCAGTTCTCTGGTTTCGGTTGCTTTGAGGATAAGGTCAGTCCGCTCTCTCTCTCTCTCTCCCTCTCCAGGTGCCCTCAGCACCACCAGGATCATTCTTCACTTTGCAGCCCTGCTCAGTGTGGGGCCCTTAGCCCATCTCCTTCCTCCCTCTCCCCCTTCCTTCTCCCTCCCTCTCTCCCTCTTCCTCTCTCTCTCCCTCTCCCTTTGCTCTCTCTCTCTTTTGTTCAGTGCTGGGATCAAACCTAGGCCCTCACACATTGCACAGGTGCCCAACCGCACCACAGCCCAGCCCAACAGACTGAAATTTCTTTGCATCCACAGCTTTTTCAAAGCATAGTGTTTTACCATTTATCTGGTATTTTCACATTTCAGCAGGAACAGAAATGTTTGGTAACATCGTCACCGGAACACTTTGCATTAGTTACAAAGTGACATTTTCTGCTGCTGATTGTGTTCAGAGAGGGAATCTAGACCACACTTAAAGGTTGCCCTTCTTATTTCTCATTGCCATGGTTTCTCTGCAGGAAGATTTCATGGAACCAGATAGAGAAGTTCCCATTGAGTCCACCTTTGTCCGCATCCGAGAAACTCCTCCTGACCAGGAGAGCAAGGTCTTCCTTCTGACGCAGAACGGGGAGCAAACCTACACCGTGAACCATGAAACCAGCCACCCGCCCCCCGCCAAAGTCTTCCTGGGCGACCGGCTGGTGCCAGAAAGCTCTGCAGACTTTGAGCACAGGAACATGGACCAGGCCCTCCAGGGGTCTCCAGGGAAGACCCGCACCACCAGCGAGTCCGCCCCTGAATCTTCCATCTTACCCACCAGAAAGGACAGCCGCAGGTCCAGCCTTCTGCCCACCAAGAAAACCGTCCACTTTGAGGACGGCACCTACAAGGACACCTCCAGTAGCCAGGAGCCGTTCTACAGCCCAGGCTTCCGCTTTGAAGAAAGTCCGAGGGCGGCCAGGGAGCTGCTGAGGCAGGGCAGGCGCGCCTCAGTGGAGGAGGAAATCCAAGAAAGGACACCGGAAGAGGTGGCCTCCAGCGAGGTCCCTGGGGCTGATGGCACAGTGAGTCACGCACAGCCACTCCAGGATTCTTCTCCCTTTAATGGTGCCTTAGAGGGTCCAGCCAGCCACGGTGAAGGAAGCCCTTCTCTGCCAGCCCTGAGGTTAAATACTGTCCTGGCCGATTCCATTACGATCAAGGTGAAGCTGCAGACTGCAGAACCCTTGCAGAAAGAAGGCTGTGTGGAAGGCGTCCCGTCACAAGCCGTGAAGCTCCTCAATAGCATGGTAGATTTTGCTTCCACCAGCCAGACTTTCGGTGAGGCTCCTGCTGGTGAGAAGGCAGCTGGCATGGAGGAGGAAGAGGAGGAGGAGGTGGGCTCTGGGAACTGTGCCCAGGAGCCATCAGTGAAGTGTGACAGACACAGGCCTCCCACAGGCTCTGGACGAGAATCTCCAGGCTACTTTGTGTCCCCTGAAGAGACACCTGCGGACAAAAAGCCAGAGACACCTGTGCATGAAAAGGCCAAGAAGAAGTCCCCCCGGCCTCACAGCGAGGTAGAGGAAGAAGCCGATGGGCCCTGGGGGCTTGGTGAACAACTGTCCTCCAGCTGCCTGAGGGGCAGCATCAGCTTGGAGACCCTCGGCAGCCCCTCGCCTCCCCTGTCCAAGATTTCTGTCATACCCCATGACCTCTTCTACTACCCTCACTACGAGGTGCCCCTGGCTGCAGTTCTAGAGGCATATGCAGAGGGCAGTGAGGACACGAGGAGCGTCGACTCGGAGCTGGAAGGGCCCAAGGACTGTCTGCCTGGCCCGGACCCTGGCGAGGGCGACGCCGAAGGCCCTTGGGACAGCGGCAGCTTCTCAGACCCGGGCCAGGGCCTCCCCAGCGCCAGCGACCAGGTGCCACCTTCCAGTGGGCACACAGGGGTGGCCACACCAGCCTCGGGACCTGCTCCCCCGGCCTTGCCTGAGGACCAGCAGCCAAGGGAGGCCAAAGACAGCGACCCCGTGGGGAGCCATCAGGTACTGGGTCGGGGTTCAGAGCCCTTGGGACCTGTAGGGAGATTCTGTGCTTTAGCTCTCTCTCCACAGGACTGTGATGTGCCACGTCCTTCACAGCGCCCATGGTCATGGCTCACAGAGGCCCTTCAGTGAGGCCCAGGCAGGGGCACCTGAGAGGGGGGCCCCTGGGCACCTCGCTGGCCTTACCTCAGGCCCGGCCCCACTCGGGGCTGCTTGGAGGGTCTCCCAGGGCAGGGACCACCATCCTTTAGAGTCGGCAATGGTAGCCAGCACCTAGCACTCTTCTCCTGTGGCTGCTGGGGGATAGGGAGTGCCCAGTTGGACCCCAGCTGTGATGCCTCAAGGCCTCGGGCAGGTGAGGCACAGATGTCTGGCTTTTGAGGTGTGAAGTGGGTGTGTAAAGGAGAAGGGGCTGGACATAAACTGACGGCTACTCCCAAACCCCCCCAGCCCAGGTGTGCAGGACCCCAGCCCAATACCGAGGGGCAGTGGGGGCCTTAGGAATAAGAGTTCCCTGCTGCAGCCGGAGGTCCAGGAAGACCCCAGGCCACACTGGCTCTGCCCCTGCTGGGATACGGTGCAGGCTTGGAGGTGGCCTGGGAGGGGAGGGGCCCCTGCCCCTTGGTGCAGCTTGGCAGAGAGCAGCATGTGCAGCGCTGCCGGGAAGATTCTGCCCGCACTGCCTAGGACTGCAGATGCCGAGGCCCCAGGAGCTGTGCGACACAGCCTCAGAGCTGGAGTTCTGCCAGGGGATGTAGGGGCCCACTGGAGGGAGATGTCACCCCAACCTAGAAAACGGGTGAGGGGAGTCTGGGGCTGTGGAGGGAGTTCTGGGTCGAGGGCAGCCCATGCATGGGGCTGTGACCAGTTGCTACAGGTGGTTTGGGCTCCCTTACTGCTATCCCTCATCTGTAATCCCGGTGCAGCCCCTCCACAGCCCACAGAGCCCTAGACCACAAGTCTCATCTGATCGCCCCTCTGTTCCTTAATCCTGTTGGATCAAGTCCAAGCCCCTAGCGTGCGTGACCCTTGAGACTCCTCCCTCTCCAGCCTGGCCCCTCTCCCTGGGCCGCTTCCTGGCTGTCAGGTACCCCATGCTGGCTTGGATCAGGCTTCTCACACCCTTGGGGTCGCCCTTCCCTGCCTGTCACTTGGAGAACAGTCACCCACTTTTCAAAGCCCCGAGCAAAGGCCACCTGCTACCAGGAGCCCTCCCAGGTCCATCCAGGTAGTACTGTGGCTCGGTACCCAGGCATACCTCCTTGAGTGCTTACTGCCTTGGCACAGGGTTTGCTATTCTCTCCCAGGAAGACATGGGCATTTGTGGATTAATCTGTGGACTCCAGAGTCCAGGGTGGCCCCTGACAGTGCTTGCCAAATAGGGCGTAAAGGTCTGTGGCCTCTTGCCCTGCAGTACATCTTGCAGGAGACTGTAAAAGGCCCAGCAGGGTTAGACATGGCCTCTGGATAGGTCAGGCTTTAGTGTCCCCAAGCTGGGCTGGGGAGATGCTCTGTGTTGTTATGGCCTTAAAAATTCTGAGGCTAAAAAGGAGGGCACTGAGTGAGTGGTTAGCTGAGCTCCTCCTGTGCCCAGGGCAGCGACAGGGTTGAAGGAGCCCAGGGTTGGAGTTGTGGCAATCAGTCAGGAGGGGAAGAAGCCCACCCTCCACTGTCTCACCAGTGGTGAGAGCTGTGGCACAACACACCTCCCTCACCTGAGCCCACCTCCTTCAGGTCCAGGGGACAGGGGTCCCTCACTATGTCCCTGGCTCTGACCTGCTGCCTCTGCTGTGCCCTGGCTGCAACTCGCCACTCTCCTTTAAAGAGAAAAAGAAAAAAATGTGTCCAGGCCAAGGGCACTAGAAAAATGACAAGTTTTTCTTCTAGTATTTTTTTTTCTTCCTATACTGTAGGTTGAATTTAGGATCTTGTGCTTGCGAGGCAGATGGTGCCACCACTGAGCTAAATCCCTGGACCTGTCTTTTAGTTTTTTTAAAAGTCCTCAGCCAGGTGTGGTGGCAGCTGCTGTTGCAATCACAGCACACTGAGAGGCTGAGGCAGGAGGATTCCAAAGCTCTAGCCCAACTGGGGCAACTTAGTGACTTAGCAAGACCATGTGTCAAAGATAAGAAGGGCTGGGCATGGTGGCACATGCCTGTAATCCCAGCACTCGGGAGGCTGAGGCAGGAGGATCACTGTGAGTTTGAGACCAGCCTGGGCTACATAGTGAGTTCCAGGTCAGTCTCAACTACATAGTGAGACCCTGTCTCAAACAAACAAACAAACGAAAAGGGCTGGGATGTAGCTCAGGGCGAAGGCCCCAAGGTCAGTCATCAATAGCATATCCGTGTGTACCCCTCCATTTCTCCTTTCAGGAAAGGTAGCAACTGCCCAGTGATGATGGAGAGAGTGTGGTTTCAGCTTGCTGGGGCCCTTTAGTTCCTGGCAGAGCTCTATCCTGGGGTCCCTGGCTAGCCAGGTCAGTCTCCTACATAGTGAGACCCTGTCTCAAACAAACAAACAAACGAAAAGGGCTGGGATGTAGCTCAGGGCGAAGGCCCCAAGGTCAGTCATCAATAGCATATCCGTGTGTACCCCTCCATTTCTCCTTTCAGGAAAGGTAGCAACTGCCCAGTGATGATGGAGAGAGTGTGGTTTCAGCTTGCTGGGGCCCTTTAGTTCCTGGCAGAGCTCTATCCTGGGGTCCCTGGCTAGCCACTCTCAACTTCTTGTCTCCAGCACCTGGGCATTCTTGGAGGCAGCCCCACAATCCCCTCTCTTCTGGATGTGCAGGTGCCTGGTGTGAGAGGTTAGAGAACCTTCCTTACTGACTAGATGCTGGGGACGTAGCCCTGTGATCTGCTTGGCCAAAGGCACAGTGACACTGCATGTGCCCCCATGTGTGCCGTTCACATTCTTGGGCCCCTTCCACACCCCTGGGCTCCCCTGGCTATGGGCACTCATTCCTCTGCCTGGGCAGGGCTGCTGGCGTGAGGAGTCAGCTATTCTCGCCTATGAGGGGTGTCCAGTGGCAGAGGTTGACAATGATGACTATTTTTTTTTTTAGAATAACAAAAACTATTTTACTAAAATGTAAGACTTACAGAAGTTTCCAGACAAGCCATACAAAATGGTCACAAGCTTTTTTTTCAAGTGGAGAATCTGCACTTGATGGAATCACGGTGCTGTTAGTGAGGGCTGTGGTGTGTGTTAATATCCCCATTTTTGTTCAGACCATCCCCTTGTCCATCCGTAGTGTCTCGGTAAAATTAGGCTGGGCTAGAGAGTGTATTCCAGGGAATTGGTTAGCTGCTTTTTAACAATGCCATTAGATCACCATAAAAGGTGCTGGGGAAAGGAACCCATAAAATTGTGGAACTACCTTTCTTCTCAAAAAATAAAATAACGAACAACCATACACCTGCAGCTAACCCTGACAGCTACCTTCATTCCCAGTGTTTATTCTTAAGCCATGCTGGAGGAGATGCATAAAAGCAGAGGGCCGCTGCTTTTAAACGTTTCATGACAGTCCAGATGATATTTCTAGCTTCTGCTTTACAACAGCGAAGCAGGGCAAGACACAGATGTGCTAATGTGCATGGACTCACCAAAGGCTGCAAAGGTCTGGGCTTCTGTTCTGTAACGCTTCTAGGACTGTACCTATTAAACGCAAACAAAAAAGGAAGCAGTCTGGGCGGAACAGGGGGAGTGACACAAACTTGAGGATTGGATGGGCTTAAATTTCATTCATGGCCCATAGCCTAGGCCATGCTCTGGCTGTTTCTGGGGTTTGGGCTTCCTTGGTCTTTCACTGCTCCTCTGTACCATTCGCTAAGGGGTCGCCTGGATCAGGGGCTCTTAACAAAGCCTGGACCTGCAGTGCTGGGGACCTATGATCTTTCAGAATATCCAAACATATTCTTCCCAACTTGTCTGCACTAGGGTGATAGATTTTGGTCACGGAACGTACTTCAGGTGCTGCTGTTGGGTATTCTTCTGGAAGAAATAGTTCAAATTTAAAAGTCCTGCCCTCAAAAGGGGTATCCAGGGGCCAGCAATGAGCACATGAAAATAGTGGGCATTGCTCACACTGGTTCTGCTTTAATGCCAGGAACTGGTTCTGCCAGCAAACACTGAGTTTTCCTTGATGATCCTACGGGGCAGCCCAGCCCTCTTGTCAGATCCCGAGTGTGGCCTCTGGCGTCTCTAGCTCTGTTCACCTCCTGCACCGCAAGTGGTTGACAGTTGTAACCATTTAACAGACAAGGAAAGTGAGGCTCGGGAAGAGAAACTCAGTCCCTCCAGGCCAAAGAACTGACTCAGCCAGAATGTAAAATCAGAGATCCCTGACTCCAAAACCTGTCGTGTTTCCCCTCCATCCATTTGTAGCCTTTATCTTCCACATGAGGAGTGGGAGCTGGGGTGGGCGCCCTTCCCAGCAGGCTTGGCTGGCCGGGATCCACGAGAGGTGGGATTGGAATCTGTGCCTGGATCGTGGTGAAGCACGCTAGGTGATGTCACCTCCTTCGGCACAAAAGTCAGCTCGTCTTTGGCTGTTTTGTCTTTCAGTCCCCAGAATTCCCAGACCCAGAAAGCACAGCAAACTCCTTAGAAGAAAAGGTAATGGAAGAATCAACCAGCAGTAAAAAAAAGGAAAAAAGGAAGCACGTGGACCACGTAGAAAGCACCTTGCACGGAGCACCTGGAATCGTTCAGTCCTCAGATGACCTAGAAGATGGTGTTGGCGACCACGGCATCCCTTCCAGGTACCTTAGCAACCCCTCTCCACCCCAGAGGTGCAGCCGGAGTCACTCTGACCTCGTCCCATTTGGAGTTTCCCATGGACGAGGTATGGGGGTGATGGGCCAGTCACACAGAACCCTCCTACTCTGCCCCTGGGCCTCCACCCCTACCCTGGCCTCGTGGTTACCAGGCCGGCTCGGAAGAGGCAAAGCTGGCAGTCTGTGGGCCTCGGGGTAGAACTAGCAGTGAGCGGCAGCGTGGCAGAGCCATGGGAGGAGGGCTAGACGGGGAGCCCGCCTGGTGTCCCACCCCAGGCAGCTGCTTGAGGGCCAGGTGGAGGCAGGGCTTGCCTCACAGGAGAGCTGCCCCACACTGCCTCCCCTGGAGATGCAGGGGCTTCCCAGCCCACCTGAGTCTCCAAAGAAACACCTCCGTGATCAGAGCGCACCTCTCTCTTCCCCTACCCCTTGTTCGAAGCAAGCTTTACTTTTAATTGGTTTTTATGTTATGCTGTAGTCAATATGAGACTTGTGGTCAGTTTGAATCTTTCAGCTTTTGTCCCAGACCCCAAGCAGCCACTTAGTGAGCTTTGAGGAAACGGAGACCTCTCTGCTGTGGCATACAGCTCCAGCACTGAGTTTTCCTGTTGGCAGCAAAGCAGGGCCTGGTACTTTCACCTCCACCAGCACCATTAGCTCCCAGAAGTCGGTGGGGTGGAAATGACAGTCCATTTTACAGAGGAGGAAAACTGACCCGAGCCTTCAGTCCTTGGCTGGCGTTGCCAGCTGGTCGACCAGGAACGATGCCAGCCCAGGCTACTTGGCCCCAGTCCTGGGTTTCCAGGGCAGTGACACATTCCACGCCAGCCTCACAGATTTAGTCCGGAAATTGGCATTACTCTTGTATCAAAGGAAGAGCTGGTGCACCCCAGGGCTACACAAGCAGAGAGCAGCCTTGTGAACACTGGAGCACTGGACGGGGACAGGGAGCAGGGGCCAGTCTGTCTCTGTCCAGTTCTGTGTTTCCAAGCGCATCCCGACGAAGTGCACACTTCCCCGAATCTAGAGTTGTCACTTGCCTCAATCTATATGGGGAAGACTTGGGCTGGGCAGAAGCATACGTCTGAGCTGCCAGGAACTCTAGGCGGCACCAATTCAAGACATGTCTTTGCTGTTTCAGGACTAGTCACAGTGACTCCAGCGTTTACATTCGACATCGTGCAAATAGATCGGTGGAGTCGGTTAGTATGTGAATTTCTTCTTCCGTTCAGCCCCTGCTAATCAGTTCCTTTGCATCCATCCTCCTCCCTACCTAGAGCTTTGAAATTACTGATGCGCAACAACTATACTTTCGGATAGAAGACAAACACATTGAAACCTTGTTGTTCATCACAATCCAATTGGATGTCCAATTAGGGATGTTAATAAAGTGATGATTTCAAAGTCCAAAGGCCTCTTTGTTATAAAAACGCATCCAAGATCCCCCCTTCGTCCCGCACCCCAGCACACACAGCTAGAGAAATCACGTTCAAGGATAGGGACACAACATAGAGCGTCCATTTGACATTTACAAGCCCCCTAGTCCCAGATGTGCCTGGCCCCACAGTCTGGCCCTGCATCAGTGGGCTTACAGAGGTGGGTGGTCTCTCTGGTCAGCAGCTGAGGGTGGGTAGAGGAATGGCTATTGTTCAGCAGTTCAATTTTGGAAGTAGATGTTTACAGTGTCAAGAAAAAGCATGGCAAGCACTCGGCTTTGTGTGTTTAAAATCATCTTATTTTCTGTTTCAGAGATTCCATCTTTACTAATTGGGTGGCGGGGGTTTTGTTTATGAATTTCACTGTAGGATCATATTAGCTTTGCTCAGTTGAGGAACGCAACAGCTGTGGGTTACAGAAGGAACCGAACATCAGCCAGGTGGGTAGCTTCATTCTCCTTCAAGTTTTGTGGGGCTGAAACTTGTTTTTGTAACGTAACCTACCTTATGGAGGTGACTATTTTTTACCCGTCCTCTGTTTCTCACAATCTTAATACCTTGGGAGAATACAAGCAAATGCTTGTTCTAGAGAAAATAAATAGAAATCTAGTTAGGAGTGCAAGGGGAGAGTGGCTACGGACCTGGGTGTGAGTCCAAGGCTGCACTTATCTATTTTTCTCTTTGTTTATTTTTTGATGCTGGGGATCAAACTCAGATCCTTGCCCTTGAGAGGCATGCAGAGGCACCACTGAACTAAATCTCCAGCCCCCAAGGCTGCATTTAAATAGGGCAGGGGCAGGAGAGAGTCATCCAGGGTAGAGCCAGGCAGCAGGGGGAGGGTCTTGTGACACTGGGTGTGACCTGGAATCCGGTATTGCCTGACAACCATGTTCATTCTGTTGTCACTGCAGGTACGATACTCAGAAGCTCACTGAGCTGATTTTACAGTTTCATGGCATCAGAGCAGACATGAAGAGGGAATGCAAACATGCCAGGATGTCTATGAAAGTATTTCCTGCTGCTGGAGAACTAGGCAGTCTAGTCCAAAGTTGCCGAGTTGCTATAAAAATAGCCCATTTAGAACATGGGAAACCAGGAAAATCTCTCAAATTTTGAGATGTCCCCATCCCCATTAAAGTCACGGAACTCCTTAATTTTATGTCTTTTTTTGCCATTAACTGGGAAGGATTCAGATCACTGGACTTGGAAACCTGTCTGAATTTTACCCTAACCCATAGGAGTGTGGGCTTTAGAACTCCACTCCTCTGGCTCCTAAAAAAGAGAAATCAAAATTTAAGCTTGCCTCCCCAGCCCAAAGTAGAAATACTAAGTTTGTCTGTCTTTGAAATGGGGCCGACAGCCCCATTTGTATGATGCCAGAGATAAACTGGCCTTGTGGGAAAGCACTTAGGGCCACCTGGGTGGCCCCTCCATGCACACACAATGCCCGGACATGTCAGGGGCCCTCAGCTCTTCTGGCAGGTGATGAGGATGGAGGACAGGTTGGGACTTCTGTATAGCACTGAGTATGGCTGACTTGGTTACCTTTCTCATTGCTGAGACAAAATACCCAACACCCACAAGTTAAGCAGAAAAGGTTTATTTCAGCTCATAGTTTGTAGAAGTTTCATTCCATAGTTGGCTGGCTCCAAGGCAGGTGGTATGTTAGAAAGGCATTATAGAAGAGAAACAGTCCATTGCAGGGCAGGGAGGCAGCAGCAAGCAGCAGCAGCCTGCCTTTCCCTTTTAGCCCTTCTAGGCTACCTGCCTTTTGAGTGGTGCCACCCACACCCACAGTGGGCCTTCCCATTATTCACACCCAGAACTATGCTAAACCAATCAGTGGACTAATTTAGTAATCATATATCCTTAACGCCAGTATCACACTCTTGATCCCAATATCATACACCCTAGATCCAGCCACCTCCGAAAAGCCCCACCTGTGACCACAGGAAGGTCTGGGGGAACATCTAGATCCAAGCCATAACAGTGGCCCGCTCTCCTAGGGACCCCACTAGTAACTGCTATCCTCTGTCTTTCCTTCTGTAGGAAGGCCAGCAGCTCTGGAGAAGCTAAGTCGCTGGGGAACCAGAGTCCACCAAGTGACTCCCTGGCACAACTGGTCCAGCAGCCAGACTTGATGTATTTTATCCTCTTCCTCTGGCTCCTGGTCTACTGTCTGCTGCTCTTCCCACAGCTGGATATCAACAGGCTCTGATGTGCATTCTGCAGAATAAAAAAGACAGGACCCTGACCAAGAGTGGGGTCTCTTCACTTCATTTTTATTTTTTTGTTCAGGATCAGGCCACTTCTGCAGAGAGTTGAAGACCTTCAAGGAGATGTAGGCCCCCTACCCTGTTGTTTTGCTTTTTCTCATGTTTCCTTCCCTCCTCCTCCCCAAGAGCATGCTTTCCTCTCTAGCTGTGTGCTCAAAACTCAGGTTTGTGGCTGAATCCTTAGGTAGGTTTTGTCCTGTGTGCCTTGCTTGGTTATTAGATGGTAAGCATTGATATTAAAAGCCAAAACCTGGGGCTTAGCTCATGCACTTGCAGATTTTTAAGGTCTTGGATGAACTTGAGTTACAGACCTCTCAGAGGAGGGTCTGCTTGGGGAGAAAGAGCACAGGTGCCCCAGGCCGAGTACTCCCAGAGGAGAACTGCCTTATTTCCCTCCAGGTGGGGGTGTTTGTGTGCAGGGACTCGGGTCCACAGCCCCTTTGCAGCTTGGTGACTGGTTGTATTCACTGGGGCAAAACCTCACAGTGTGAAGCTGAGGGCTCCCAGCAAGCACATCCAGGAAAGGAGAATCCAGGGGAAAGAGCAAAGGCTTTGTTGTGAGCCACAGGACATTCTTTTTTCACCCTAGCTTGTGGGAGGGGTGGCCAGGGTGGGGAGATGCATTTTTAACCTACTTTTGCATGGATTGGATTGAGGTAACACTGTGATTTGCGAACCTTCTCTACCAAAGGGACCGCTCCTGCCAAATGAAACCTGAGACGGGCTAGTCTAGACGATGCATTATAAGCAGAGGTCTGGCTGGCTGGGGCCAGCCCTGAGACCCCTCCCATTAGCTGAGCTCCTGTGCAGACCCTCAGTGTCCCACGGGGCGCTGCAGAAGGCCTGAGCAGCAGCAGAAGGAATGGGGCTGAGGATGAGCCTCCCCTCCCCAGCCAGAGCTGGCAGGGGTCCCATAAGCTGCTGCTGCAGAAAGCATTGTGCACAGACCCTCAGGATGCCACTGAGTACCCGCCAGCATCACTTGCTTTGGTCCTGATGGGTTTCTTGAAAAGGCTTTTCTGGAATGTACCCAGGGCAGGCCAGAGGCTCCTCTCCCGCCACTGCCCTTTCCCTCCTAAGACACCAGTCAGCAAAGCCTGAGTGTCATTCATCCTCCTCTCTCCCTTCCCTTCAAAAGCGTGTGCAGTAGACCTTGAGTTACAACCGGCCTGACATACAAACAACTTGACTCATGACTGGCATTTTAGTTTTATGAAGAAAGTTGAATTATGACCTGAATGCTTGTCACTTGTGTTGCCAGATGGCCTCAGGCACAGATTTAACCCTTAAAGAGCTCTGGAAGGAACATGGACAGTAACCTCTGCCGTGTGGGAGAGAAATCCTGGGCCAGTGTCTCTCTGAGGACACTGAGATCTGCCTGGGTACAGGAGAGAGACTTTGAAGGTTGTGTAGAGGAGCCTGGGCCTCAAATGACCAACTGGTGTTACAGCCAGCCCTCGGGAATGAGTTGAGTTCGTAAGTCAAGGGGTCACTGTATTAGGCAACCTGCAAAGTTGTAAACTACTAGGAGAGCTCTCAGGGATCATTCTGTCCAGTCGAACCCAGAGAGGCAAAACAGGCTGACCAAGGTCACTGACTTGCCACAAGGATGCAGCCCCCCTGTCTTCCAGTCCAGAGCTGTCACATTTAATGGAAGACTTTTATCACACACATAATGTCCCCAAAATGATGCCTGTAAGATAAAATGCCCTCATTCAAACACAACCACAAACTTTTTAGGTTATCTATCATTCTTTTGCTCACATATTTTGTCCATGAAGAAGTTTCCTTTAGCTTCAAGCCAGTCCCATGCTCTTTCTGGAATAGTTTTGGCAGAAAAGGTAAAAATCACATTCCTCCCGAGCAAGCCGATTTCCGACAGTGGGTTTCAGGCTTACAGGATTCCGGCAGGACCAAAACAGTCTACCCTGCGCATTTGAGTTGGTGACAGCCACATTCTGGCCTGTGCCCACTTCCCCTCCCTGAAAGAACTGCAGTCTTCCAGGGAGAAAGCCATTGGGGGCTTGGAGCGATTCCATCTGGAAGGCCAGGAGCTCCATAGGAAGAGCTAATTCATGAGCTCCCTGGTATCATCAACAGCTCCAAGGTACAGATAATAAAGATGGTGGGAAATTTTATAGCTCTGGGCACCATGCAGTCCTTGCCCAGATTAGATGCTGAAGAAGAGCTGACCCAGGTGTGAATCATTTCATTGTATGGCCTGGACGTTGTTCAGAGACGTCTCTGCAGGCTGCTTCTCTCACCTATTACAACTTGCGATAGTCTGAAACAGCTCCTGGCAAGATGCCCGATAGTCATTTGGCTCTGGTTGGCAGTAAACTGACTTTTTTGAAAGAAAAAAGAATTCATTTGAGCTTAGGCATATATGGAAGAAGTTGAAAGTAGAGGCTGCTAGACAAACCAGTCTATTACTTGTGTTTTTTTTTTTAAATAAAAAATACTCTCAGCCCAGCATGGTGGCATATGCCTATAATCCCACCACAGGATTGTGAGGTCAAGGCCAGCTGGGGCTGCATAACGAAACTGTCTTGAAAATAAACCAAAACAAAGAGATACTATAAAGTTTTTAGTGAGAACTAATAGACCTCCAAGTCTTACTCCCAGGAAGTAACCACTTTCATCACTTTCAACCATTTCTTCTAATACTTACCTTTGCATTTCTACATAACACGCTCATGCTTTATTTTTTTAATTAGCTTACAGACATCTAGTGACCTGCTCATCCCATAACTGGAGGTTTCACTCTGACCCATGCCCCACGTTGGGGGTATCCGTCTCTACGCATTACTGACACTGCCTTGGACACACCAGCCCTCTTCACTCCTTTCTATCACAATTTCTCCTAAGTTTAAGATGTCCTCCTCCCTTTCCCTCCCTCCCCCGCCCCTCCATCCTTCCTCTCCCTCCACATGTTCTTTAGTAGCCTAGGACGGCGGATGTGGGGAGTACGTATAGTGCTTATCTTGAGATTTTTTGCATGATTGAAAATGTCTTTGCTCTATCCTTACCCAGGTGTGGCTGAGCATCGACCTGCAGGTAGAAAGTAGCCCCCTCCTGCTGTGGGTGCTGAGATTTCTGATGCCCCTCTGATTCCTGTGTGTCTATATGTGACTTGGGTGTTTTCCTCCTCCCTGGGAACTTTTAAGATCTCTTTACTCTTGGTGTGGGGTGGTGGTATCATAGCCGGCTGTTTTACCTTTTGCGCATCCCTCCTGGGAAATTTCTTAATTTTCTTGTAATCATTTACATTCTTTCATTCTGGGCCACCCACTTTTTTACCCCCCCCTTTTGTTTGTTTGTTTGATTTTTTGTACTGGAGATCAAACTTGGGACCTTGTACTTGTGAGGCTGGCGGGGGAACCACTGAGCTAAATCCCCACCCTCTCCTCTCATTTTTTATCTGCTTTCAGAAAGATTTATTTAGTGTTCTCTTCCCTATGTGCCGGTTTTATTTAGTTAATAATTTCCAAGGCTTTTCCTTAATGTTCACTGGTTTTGTTTCATAGCTTTCTGTGCTTGTTTCAGGGATGCACAGGGGTTACCTCTGGGTGTCAGTGGGAGAGTTTGGGGAAGTTCTTTTCTGCTCCCTGGCTTGCATTAATTTCCTCTAAGCCTCCTTTCTCTTGCTTGGTCTCAGTTTCTGTCTTTCCTGTAAGCTTCCTTCCAGTAGCCAGGGATGCTGTGGTTCTGTTCCTGGTTAAGTGTGATGTCACGGGATGGGGGTGCTGTAGGTCACCAGCTGGGCTGGACTCACCTTTGGAGAACCCTGCCCATCAGTACTTGCACGCCTTTTCTCTGGGCTGATTCCCTTTCTTCACAGATCTCTCCAGTGCTCTCTGCCTGGGAAAGAGAGACACACCCCGGCCCCTCTCAGCCTATGCAGTACAGCTTCCAAAAAAGGCGTTCCTGCTGGGCAGAAGCCACTCATGAGCACTTGGCTTGACTGGCACAGGGCACCTTTTGCCTGTTTCTCTGGGCATCTGCAGCCCTGAGCTAGTACAGAGCCGGAGGTGCAACACAGAGGCCAGATTTTCACTCGTACTTGCCCCCTTGGCCTTTGTGCAGTGCCCAGACCTGAGGCTGTACCCAGAGACCCCGTGTCCACCTGAATGCCCAGTGTTGACTGCTGAGTGGGCAGCCCCACTGCCAGCTGGCATCTGGCCTCTCATCTAGCCGCCCTGCCTTTGCTGTGTGGCAACCCCGGTTGGAGCTTTTCACTCTGCGTGGAATAGGAGCAGAGGGGTCCCCAGAGTCAACAGATGCTTCACCATCAGCCTGGCCACCCTCGCTTGGAGGCCACAGCATCCCCCTGCAGGCAGGCACGAGGTGTCGGGGTCCCTCCCCCTGCTCATTCCGCCATCGGCTCTGCTCCTGCTATAAATGGGTTGGGCTCTGTGGCCTGCTGTTACCCTCCTTCCTTCACTTTGCCTTCGTGACTGTAGCTTTCGTTCCTTTGCTCTTCTTTCCGTGGGCTTTCTTGATGGAAGAACTGAGTCTGGGTACCATCTTGTTCCATAAATCCCCTTTGAATGTTCTTGCTGGTGAATTGGGGTTTCACTGCTCTGCTGCCTTGTGTGTGACACTGTCTGGCACATCCCTGCTATTGAGTGTCGAGTTGTGATGTGCTGAGAGCTTTTGGGTAACGCTGCACCCAGTGCAGGAGAGGTTACCAGTGCCAGTCAGCTCTGCTTGAAGGCCATCATCCAAGTGGCTCTTCTTACTCCCCAGCTTTCCCTCTCATTACCCCCAGGAAATGAGCACAGCTCTCCTGCAGCCCCTCTGTTTAGCAAACAATTAATCCACCCTGGTGTTTTCCAGCAAATAAACGGGGAGGCTCTCTGTGCGTTGGAGTTTGGAACTTGGGCAAGATTCCCTCAGAGACGTTTGTGTCTTGCCATCATTAGTGACTACAGGCCAAAGGGGCTGCTAGGCCACACCTGACCTTCATGGGGAGATGTGCTCCCACCAGGACTAGGAAGGACATCCTCGCTGTCCTCTGGGGCATGTGCTTCCCCATCCCTGGGTTCTGCGTAGTGCCCCAGAACTTTTCCCCATGCAGTGCCCGCCTGCTCTTCGCAAAGATGCAGTGCTGAGAAGACAGAAGCCTTTGGGGCTGCCCATACAGGCAACCTCTACAGGTCAGGTTGTCTGACAGCCTGGCACCTCCTCTAAGGGTCTGGCACCTCCTCTAAGACGAGGCTGAGGTGGGAGGATCCTTTGAGCCCCTGAGTTTAAGACCAGTCTGGGCAACAGAGCAAAACCCTCATCTAAAAAAAAAGACAAAAACAGAAACCAAAGCTGAGAAAGGGGAAACACCTCATCGTCCTGCTAGCTAGTAATTTGGGGATGGCTATCTCCATTCCTAATCACATTTTCTACCAAACTATAGCCTCCAACCTCCTCACCAGGGACTCAGGACTTCATGGAGCTGTCTCTCCCTCAGAAGTCAGGGTACTCACTGAGGAAAGGTGTCTTATGAATGTCTGAAGTAGTCATGGCTTCCTCGGTGGGCAACCTCACACTCCTATAGATATGTCACTGGAGTGTCATCGGGCAGTGTGGACCCTTTCACACAAGCTCAGTTTTTCCTGCACCTCTAGAAGGGCTGCTGGAGTTGTGAGACCTGTCCTAGCTCTCCCTCCTGTGTGGAGATACCTTCCTGGGGTCTGTGTCACAGGTCCCACCTAGGCGCATGCGTGGAGCTCCATTTTCTTGTGCAGGAACAGGCTGTGCTAGAGTTTCAGGTCAACATGGCTCCTCAGAGCCTTCTCTGTGACTTTTCTGCCAGAAATCAAACACACAGATCTCCCAGGGCCCAGACACATTGTTTTTCTTCTCTGACATTGCATAATCCCTGCCGACGTGGCCTTTGGGGCGGGCGAAACATCCCGGGCCTGCAGCTTCTGATTGCTGCCGCCTTTGCATAGCAGCTGGTGAGGGGGCTGGTTTCAAGAGAAGGGCCAGGCCCTGGATGAAAGCCAAGGCCGGAACTACTGTTGCTATCTTGTTTATTTGCTGCAGAGCTTTCCCCTAACTTGTTAGCAAGTGGAGTAGAGCCAGGCATGAGACATAGGGCATCTTTACCACCTGGAAGCCGCTGGCCTTTGTCCCTGCCTCTCAACAGCCAGCAGCTCACCAAAGTGAGCCAGCTGTGTGAGGTTCATGGGTTTCGCCTGAATTGCATGTTGGCATCCAGGATGCCCCTGTCCTGAGCCTCTGCTTGAGCATGCAGCCCTTGGTGCTTCAGTGGGTATAAGCCCCACTGCACCTGTGGCCTTGTCATTTCTCACTCATGTCGGGGAGAGGTCTTGTGGTGAGCTTGTTCAACTCAGGGCTCCCGTTTTTCAGAGAGTTGGCAGAAGGCAGCAGATTCTTGAGCTGACTCTTCCAGGCTGCCGTACCCTGCAGTGGCAGGACGACAGACTTGGTTCTGAGAACCTTGAGGAAAACCTATCAGGCAAGTAGTTCCTCCCAGCCAGGGCTGACCAACAATACGCCAGAAACCACTCTTGTCTATGGGAAATAGACAACCAGTGTTCTGTGCTCTTTGACCAGTAGTTACTAAATATACATAGCACTCAACAGTCTATGGCTCCCTGCTGACTTGTGTAAAGCCCTGATGTCACATCTAGTAACGGGGCCCTCTGTAAAAGAGCCTTTTCGTTTGTTCTTTAATCATTCCCTTCCTCCTCCCTGGCAGGTACTGTGGGATGGAGAAACAGGGCAGGTTTGAGAGTCCCAGCTCTGTCAGCTGACACCTACGTGATCTTGGGCAGATTAACCTCTCTGAGCTTTGCAGTGCGGCCCATATTCGTCTGCAGAGCAACACCTGCCTTGCGAGTTTGTTGAGAGGTTGTAGACTGCTTTGTGGCCTCTTGTCCATTTCCCTCCTCCAAGCATTGAATATACCTCCTCTCCTCACATTTTGTTTACCGTGACTTCTGCCAACCTCTCCCCAGTCCTGCACCTGATTGCTGGCTAGCCTGTCTCTAACCCCTTTTTGCAAGAGGAAGTTTAAGTCACTGCATACTCACTGGCTCACTTGATGCTTATCCTTCAGGGAGGAAATGAGAGGCCCAGGACCCAAAGATAACAAGGTCACTGCCTAGAACTAGTTCGTGGCAGAACCTGAAATATAGGACTTACTCTGTGATGTTGACTTTCATTCTAAATGTCACTACTTAGAAAATGAACTGGTGCCCTAAGGGACTCCGATTCTTGGTGACATCAGGCTAGTTGGCAAGTTATGGGTGGAGGGTGGACATTCTCTGTTAGGAAGGTGGCAAAGGTTATCGGTCACGTTGCATTCCCCTCCCTGGCATCCTCCTCTTCCTGCTGCTGCACACTTTGACTTCCATCCCCATTTCAAAACTGTTTGACTCCTTCCTTCACGAGCTCGTGAAACCCATGTTTAGCCTATAGTTGCTGAATCGCAACCATGTTTTTGCCTCCCAGGAGCCGTTAGCAATAAAAT